ATTTATTTTTCACCAACCTTATTAAGATATAATGGACAAATAAAAATTTAATATATTCAAGTTCTATAGCTTGATATTTTATACATGTACATGTACACACTGTGAAATAATCAAGTTAATTAACCTCTCTTCGTTTTTGTGGTGAGAACATTTAAGATCTACCTTCATAGCCAGTTTCAAGCACACAATACAGGGTTGTTACCTAGAGCCACCACGCCATACATCAGTTCCCCAGAACTGACACGTCTTCCGTAACTGAAACTTTGTGCCCCTTAACCAACATCTCCCCGTTTTTCTCCCTTCACCCTCTGGCAGCCACCGTCCCGTTCTCTGCTTTTGCAGTGTGGTGATTTGCACGTCATACACCTGACCTCCTTTAAGTGTGCAATTCAGTGATTTTTAGTAAATTGATAGAGCTATGCTGTTCTCATCACAATCCAGTTTTATGACACTTCCATCACCCCAGAAAGGGAACATTTGTTTTTGCGATGTATCTGGAAATGGTTTCTGCTGTTCCCCTCATCTTACTCTATACTTTGATCAGGCACATGAATGGATACAGTCCAGGATGGAGTTGGGAAATATTTTACATGGGAGCAATTGGAGGACCTGGCCTGGGTGTTCCTCCGTCACATTCTCCTGCAGGAGTGAGCATGAAAATACCAGTGCCCAGACTGGGAGAAATAGAACTGACCATGCCCTTGGAAGTTGGCAAAGGAAACCAGGGCAAGTGAATTTGGGGATAAAGTGGAAATGGGCAATGGAAGGAAGTGAAAACACATTAGGCTTTGTTTATGTAAAGGTCATATAACTGTGCCTGGGAAACTTTTTTAGGGCCAGAACAGGGCTGAAGAAAGGATGTATACATAGCAAAGAGGTCTTAGGGTCAGGAAACTGCAGGTGGGCATTTACAAGTAAAAACGTGGGGCAGCAGGAGCCCTGTGGTCAGAGCTAGTAGGCCATTGGCCCCGGAGGCCACAGTGAACTGAAATGCATTTTAGGTTTTCCCCTCTTAATTGGCACCACTTGTCACAGAGCTGAAAAATGGCCAAATCAAGCCTTGTTCAAAAATGCTGATTCGAAAGTCAACATGAAATCAGTATTTTTGAAATGAGTAGTTTCAAAGATAAACATCAGTTTAAGCTTAGAACATGGAACTCGTTTAATTATATGAGTGGAATCCATAGGAGGTAAACAAAACAAATACTTTATTCCTCCAGTGCTTTTTTTTTAAGCAATAAATAAATAAATAAATAAATAAATAAAATTAGGAAAGCTGCTTGGGGAAAAGCAGAAAGGTTTGGGTGTTGTTCTTACAGTTGTTTTTCTTCCACAAGTTCCTAAAGCACATCGCTGAACCCTGGAGGCCTGGGGCCAATGTAATTTCCACACGAGAAATAACTGCACCATATTTAAGCTTCTCTGCTATGCTGTACGGAGCAGCACTTGTCCATTTCCTTGTCCATTTCCTTGCACTTATAGTTTCAAATGGTGTCCAGACTGAATGATGACCCTTGGATCTTCTTCAGAAAGGTCGGCCTGCTCCACCAGCCAGCTGCCGTGCAAGGGCTGGGTCTTGTAGGACATGCCCCTCGACTGGCCTCTCCACCCCCACAGGGCCTTCCGTGGTGCCCGGGGCATGGGGGGGCTTTTCTTTTTAATTGGAGTTCAGGAGAAAGGTCTAGGTTAGACAAGTGACTTTGGGGATTATTAGCACAGCTGAGGGATTTAACCCACAGGGTTAAATGAGACTCTTTAGGAAGGACATGAGGATTTAAAAAAGAAGAAAGGAATTGGAAAGAAAGAGCTCCAAGGGCTGAGCCCTGGAGCCAGCCCACCCAGGGGGCTCAGGGAGCACCAGCAGAAAGAGCCTGCAGCGGGGCACAGACTCCAGACACGCAGTCTTTGTTTGCATTGTACTTTGGTGGCGATCCGAGTACATGAATATGAATGTTGTTTCACTATGTGCTCTATTTTTCTTTATATCTCCAAACCGTGACACCCCAGTGACAACCTGCACACACACGCAGATGAGTAAGGGTGTGTGTATTCTAATTAAGTGATGTTAAAGAATGTGAATAAATATAAATTAAATTAAAATGTATGCATTCACATATATGCACAGCCGTTGTTTCACCAGTGGAAAATGATTATGGAACCAATTGCAATTTTCCATTATCTAGGCTTTGCTATATTATTTACACCCTATAAAATATTTCTTTTCTCCAAGCAAATATTTTGTTCTTCTGCTGGTTTTCTTCTGATTGATAGTTAATTCAAGTGTTTGCATTCGGTTTAAATTTCAGACCACTATAAAACAGAGTTCAGCTATATTCTTTTTATCTCAATAATTAAATTTTACTCATAACTTTCCATTTAAGAAGCTATAACGGTTAAAATATATGACATGTTTAAGAAGTAAGGCACTGAATAGGTAAATGAAATTTATGTAGACTTAAAGTTATTTTGTGGTGGTGATATTTTTTTTCCATACCATACTATTTCATCTTGGACACCAACTTTGGCTTTTATTGTGGAAAATGAATCTTTCAGCCTCACTAGATAAGGTGCGCATCATTAAAATACCTAATCGGGAGAGCGGATGGCTGGTACCTAAGTCCGCTCCACCAGAGACTGTCTCGGGGCAGGGCTGGGACTTATGCTGATGGCCCATGATGGCATTGCCAGGGCATCTGCATTTTTAAAGATAAATACTCAGAACCCTCCCTCATCCCCGAGTGAGCACAGCTGAACTAGGATGGAAGAAAAGAACACATGAGAAATAAATCTTGAACGTGTGTGTGTTAGGTTCAAATGCTCAGGGAGGGTAAGAAACACGCAGGAGACAATAATGCGAGTAGATGATGTCGGGAACAAAGTGACAGCGGACTGCCAGGACAGCCCGGCAGGAGGAGAGAAAGAAGGCAGTGGGGACCGGACTCGGAGACGATGTGTGGGAGTGAGTGTGGGAGGCCGGGGAGGACGCCAGCAAAACGGAGGTAGGTGTGGAAAGAGGAAAGTGGAAGACCACACACGGCCTTGAGAAGGCTGGCTTTCCAGGCGAGAGCTGAGCCGAGGGAGGCCTGCCAGGACCCAGAAGATGACACCAGAGGGCAAATTGTAAGGACCAATGAGCAGATCAGTGGGAGGGGCCCACCTGCTGCAACTACACTGCTCTCCGGGTCAGGTCTGAGGTCAAGTCCCACGCCCTGCTGTCCGGGCTGTTGAGCATTAAACACCAACCCCACCCCGCGGGCCGTCAGTACCTTCAGGCAATCATCGTCTTCACAAAGACTACGTGGGGTTGTTTGGTCTACTGAAGGCTGGGTGGATTAAACTTTGTATCTAGTCCAGGTACAGATGAACAGGAGGACATCCCAGTTCCTGATTTCTGTTTAAGGCCTTGGCACACTCCTGCCTAAGATCCCAAGAGCCAGAAAGAGACCTAGATAATTGGCAGGGACATTGTTTTCTTTCTCCTCTTTGCCATTGTTATTTGTCTAGTGCCTTCATTTTCATTAAAATACATATGCCGAGTAGTTAAGGTATGTTTTCTGTTTAGGCTTCTGCTTCTGCAATTTAAGTCACTTACAAAATTGAGAGCAAATCCTCTTACGTTTCGCAGACTAGAAATGCGTTTTCTTCATAAACCTATACTTCTCATTGACTCCTTGTCCTGTCTCATGAAGAGTTCAAGCAACCAAACACATTCCTTTTAATCATTGTGCAAGGAGAAATTACATAAAGAGCACTAGAGGAATATTCATCATGTGTTTGCAAAAGAATGTTGTCTCCCTGAAGAAAGGGACACTTTCCCCCGAAAATCGTTAGTGTCCAGGGAAGGAGAGAATGCTTCCTAACTGTGAAGTTTTCTGATTGGATTCTAATGTTTCAAAAGAAGAAATGGCATGGTGGGTGTTTTAATAACTTAGCTGGTAAAGGTATGAGAAAATATTCACTAAGACTCAACATTGTTTGCAAGGTATTGTGAGAAGTGCCGCGACAGCTGGATGTAAAGAGATGTAAGCGAGCTTTGCACCACCCGTGTGGGTGTACCCACAGTGACTTCTCTCTCTCAGTGGCTGCTGTTTTGCGATTTTATTCCTTTCCCTGCTGGAATGCCTCCTTTATCTTTCCTAATGAAACTGGCCGAAGATTTCTTCCCTCCACGGAATCCTCACCCCCATACCACGCTTGACGGTTCCTAGATGATGGTTATAAAAGTCGTCAATGCTTTAACTAGCAATCAATTTTAGATTTTTTTCATAACTCAAATTAAAAACCACAAGGAACAGAAAAAAAGGTGATGAGATAATAGCATAATGACATTTTTCTGCTGGAAATGCCCTTTTCCTGGCCAATAAAATCCTCCATATGCCCACTTGGCATTAATTTCCTTTCTCGGCTATGAACATGTGCGCCCCCCCCTCCACCCGAAGTATCACGGGGGAGAATACAGGTAGTCGTCACTGGATGCTTGCTCTCTGTCGAGCACTCTTTTAGGCATTTCACATGAACGATCACCGGTCCTACCCACCTCTTATCATTATAAATAATTATTTGGATAATTATTGCCACCTCCCTCATGAGGAAATAGAAGGCTGCTCCAGGTCACCCAGCTAGTAAGTACCAGAGCCCGAATTTTTATTCAGATTTCCTTGGATATAAGGCTCAGCTTTTTCCCTCTGTACTATGTGACCTCAACAAATTAGTCCTAATACTAATTTGTTTTGATTTTCAATACTTGGCACATGTAATCATAAAGAACATTCCTAGTGGTTGAGTAACGACTGGATTTATTTTACCGAGTCTTAAAAAATATGTTGGTCATTTTGCTTAAAAAATCCCTTGGGACGTCATAAGAATCTCTTAGAATAGTTCTTACGTGTTCATTAAGAACTCATGATATGTGGACTTAGGTTTATCATTTCCCACATGATGGTAAGGGCTGAACGTTCTTTCTGCTCAGTGCGTAACTTGCCCTTGTCTTTGTGTTGCAGTACTGGGTACCAGTTTATTTACTATTCACCTGAAAACACAGCCAAAGCAAAGGAGGTTCTCAGCAACATCAATCAACTCCAGCCTCTGATAGCAACCCATGCAGACCTGCTGCTTGATTCTGCAAGCCAGCGTTCTCCAGACAGCTTGAAGAATTCCTTAAAGATGCTTTCCGAAAAAGTAAGATCCAAATCATCCCTGCAGCGGGGAACATGAAGTACCCAAATCCCCATTGCTGTTGCTTTATGCATACCTGGCCTTTCAGAGAACCTGGAAATGTAAAACAGACTATGTTAAAAAGTGAGCTTCCAGGTATTGCTGTAGGATCAAACTGAACCGGCCTCATGCTCTTTTCCAATCTTACTGAGCGCTATTTTTTTCCGTAGGAAACGAAACCTGTCATTGGTGGGTATATATTTTTTTCTTTTCCTTGACATCTGCATTTTATTTCATTCATGGTTTTCTAGAATGAATTAAATTAGGTTTTGAAAATTACTTTATTTTCCTCTGGTGACCACCTAAGTTTTATGCCTATGAAACTATACATTGGAATAGGAATGTCGCTTCATTTGAAAGCAGGAGTTTGATGGGGATTCTTAAGAGTGGCATGGGATCATTCCTCTGCCTGATTCCCTTTCAACACCATCTACCAGGAGAAGATACAAAATGCTAGTTACTGTCTGAAGTGTAGTGGGACCTAAGCGCCAATTTTCCCACAGGTGACTTAGCACCTTACCTGCAGAGAGGAAAGGCAGTCTGGCGTTGGGCAGACACTCACCACCAACTTTCATAACTAATCAGGACACCGGGATGACACAGAGAACCAGGAGAAAAAAGACAAAATTGCTGCTTGATTTTAAATGCAAAATCAGGGGTCCTGATGTCCAGTTCTAATACATCCATCCTTAGCCTCTGCAATCTGAGGACACCTGGCAATTTATTATGAGATACTCCCAATAAATATGCCCTTGAAGAGATGGACCAAAGAAAATCCCTCTGGTTTCATTTTACAGTAAAATAGCAGTGTGGTTCTTCACATCTCTAAAGAATAAATTCATGGAAACCTGGGTCTTATCCATATATATTTTTAATTCAGATATGCTAATTTGTAATAATAATACATTTTCATTTAAAGTATTCATTATTATATATTTTCTCCTAGGATAAAACTAATAACTATGTTTATTAAAATTAGGTAATACCTATTCAGCAAGGTCAAGTGAATTATCTAATAAATTGAAAAGTAAAATATCAAAACCCAAGAGTGCTGGTTCAAAATGCAGCCTTCCTTCTCTCCTGCATCATGACAAGCAAAGAAAAATTGACCCAAATTTTACAAGCACTGACTTTGTCAAATACTGTGCTAGAGGCTTCAAGACTGACACTATTTCATTTAATCTTCAAGTGGAGGATATCTATTATTTCCATTTCACAGAGGCAAAGAATGAAACTCTGAAAAGTTAAAAATATGTGCAAAACCACACAGCTAGAATCAAGTCAAACCAGGTTCATGTTCGAGTTTGGGTGACCAGCTGACTTCTGGAGGGAGTTTCTAGGCTGTGGCACAAGGAGGCAGAAACCAAGGAGGGAGGAAGCGGTCTGGTAGCCCCTATGTCCTACATGGGTTCTGACACTTCCATTTTTTAAATTAAAAGGAAATGTGAGGCAAACTCTTCTGCAACACTTAAGTATTCTGATAGTCAATAAATATATCTAACAGTCAATAATAAGTTATGGCCAGGAAAAACGAGGCAAAAACGAAGAGACCATTCTGTAGAGTAAAATAATATGATTTCAGTTTTGGTTCAGTTCTTTTTCGAATTTGCAGCAGACGTGAGGTTTTCTGGATTCACCTGAGCAGGGAATGTCAGTGAGGAGCGCACCAGGGCAGTGATCAGAGAGCAGAATTTATACGCTTCCTGTGCACTGGGCAGGGGCTTGTCATCTCCTGCATCATTTACAACCTGCTGCAGTGATTTGGGTGGGGAGGCAGGGCAGGCATTTCCTCCTCTGTCGATTCAGCATCGCTCCGACTTTCTCCTCTACATTTTTCTACTGAGTAGACAAGCTTCATCTATTAATAAATCTGTCAGCTCTTTAAAATCAGGAGGATCTTTTTAAGTTTTCAAGCCATGCATTTTTTTGAAGAATGAATGGCTGGAATTTCAAAGAATTATCCAAGTTAACAGAATTTTGCATAGTCTATGAAGACAGTAGGTATCTCATGGTTTAAGATGAAGTGTGATTCATGTCTTTCTGGCCGTGGCGCTGGTGGTTCAGACTCCATGCCCCGAGACTGTTTTTTTTCCCTAGCAATGGCCTAATAAACACTTCTTAAAAATGGAAAAAATAATGAATAAAGTATGATCCACAAATCTAGTGTAGAAGATAAATGTTTTTATTGCCATCTTAAATTTTAGTATAATTTAATATTAGCAAAATTGAGCTTAAAACATTTTGTTTTCAAGATCAGGATCTTGCAAAGTGTGGGCTGGAGAATAAAAGTCCTTTCTTTGTCAATAGTTCCTTGTTTCTTTTATTGAATCTGAACTGGTATGTTTGGAAAAATAAATACTTGAGTTGTTTGCCTAGGAACTCATTTCTACAGGATGTTTAATACATAACAGGGATTGCCTGTGTTCCCACTTATCATAGAACTCTAAAGGTTGTATAGCCTTTGAGCAGCCGGACATGGGAGAGCTCCCTGTGGTAGACTGGGGACGCTGGGGAAGGCGGAGGGGAAGCCCGTGGGTGGTGGGACAGGAGGCATTCAGTTACTGTGCAATGAGACGGCATCTCTCCTCTTAGGAAACACATGCATCTGGAGATGATAGCCGTGGGTGCGTCAGTCCAGTATATACTCAGAGTCAGGTAGCGGGGAAGCACGGGGCAACAGAGAAACCCAGCCAGCTAACAGGTCATATTCAGAGAGCCCCAGAGCAGGCGCTATTTGTAGATCCAAAGGCAATGCAAATTATCTCTGCTGCTACTGATGGCCAAGCCACAGAACCACAGCTCCCAGGAAAATTCTATCCCTCTAAGTGTCTGTCAGTGGAAGAAACAAACAAACAAACAAACAACCAAACAAACAAAAAGCACACAGTTTATAAAAACTAAAAATATGTATTGAATTTGTACTCTCTTCCAGTCACTGTCCCTGCAGTGACAGCATAAAATGGATTAAGACGCAGTCCTGTTCTTCCCAAGACAATCAAGCTTCTTAATGGTAGTAATAGTTCTGTTGCCCATGAGGATAATGGCAATAGCTAGTTTGGAAGTTTACTAACTTTGATATACTACTAAAAGGTCTTAAATTTCCATTAAGTGATGAGGTGGGTACTAAAATTTTTAACATTCAATCTTCCTAATCCATGAAGTAGGTACTTTTAGTATCTTCATTTTATACGATAGAGGAAATTGAGATACAGAAATATACGTAAGCACCAAATCACCTGCCTTATAAGTCAGGCTCCCAGTTCTGTGAACTCACCATTGTAGTATATTGTCAAATGGCCCATGTGTGCTAAGACAGACACAGCATATAGACCTAAGGAAACAAGCAGGGAAGTGGTGGCAGGGAGGACAAGTGAAGTTTTGTGAGAATAAAATCTGTCTATAAAGGTTTTATGTCCTAATGTGCACAAACTCAGTTACATTGTTCTAATACTTGAATTCGTAGTATACTATCTGGTGTATAACTGGGTTTGTTTATGGAACTATTAAAGAAATTATTTAATCTTGTTGCTGGGATTGGGAGGCTTGGGCTGCCCGAGATAGAGATCGAGAGGTAGCCCCCGAGAGATTTGCAGACAGGTTTTACGGAGCCTCTGCCGGAGCGCACGGGAGGCAGCCCGGAGCAGAGGAGGGTACTCCCGGCTGGCTGAGGGGCTGGCTCTGCTTGGCCGCTTTTAGAAACCGAGGACAACGCAGGTGTGCAGGAAAATGGGGGCTTTGTGAAAACGGCAGACTTGCAGAATTTTTCATTTCAAGGATCCGGTGTCTTCGTTTTCTAGCTGCGCCTGTGTGGTGGGGGTAAGGTGGCAGACTGCTTATACTGCCACTCTAGGGAGGGCCTGTTGAGGGCAAGCCTCGGTCAGCTGCCCATGTGGGTCAGTAGTTTCAGCACCTGCAAGGAAGCAGACGGCACAAAGGGAGATGAAACCAGCTACCTCTGTTGTTTTTGAGGAGGGAGTGGAGAGGGGGTGACTTTCCTGCTGCTGGCTTACCTGGCATTCCTCCTGGCCACCAGGTCTTCACTTGGCTTGCTGACCACTTGGAATTGTAGAGCCCGGGCCCAAGTCCCTATGCCGGCTCCTTATGATACAGGATCCCAACAAAACACAGCTGAGTTGATATGAATCATTTCAATAGACAAAGCATAGGGCAGATTTTTAACATAAGACACAAAAGGTTATTAATTGAGTGGAATACAAATGCATTTTCCCTACATTAAAATGATGCAATGCTATATGGACAAAGAGAGAGAGAAAACTAATATAAAAGAATTCAGACTGAAAAAATACGGGCCTAAATGTAGGCAATGTAGAACTGTCTGTCATAGCTAAGATAGATGTGCGACGTTAGTTTCAAATGCCCGTGGCAGTGTTCACTCCACAGAGGCTAATAAACCTGGTTTCGATAGTCATCATCATCATCATCATCTCGCTCATCACAAAGCAACATTGGGCACCCAGGTGTGTACGATGCGGTACCTGACACTGCAGGACACGTGCGGCATAGACATGATTCTGGACCTTCACAACGGAAGAATTGAAAAGAATGGAATGTGCAGTGGTCAACAACAACAACAGTAACAACAAGGATATCGTCACAAACATTAGACGCCTTGCTCACGGCATATCTGAGAAAAATCTCAACACGTTTTAAATCTTGTATCCTTTCAACATTAGCACAATATCCCAAAGCCTTCTACTGTACTTAATGATGGGGAAAAAAGCATTTTACTCTAAAAGTTAGCTCAGGATGTTTAAAAGAAATGTAAATGTAAACTAAAATGAGATGCCACTAACCACGGACTCGAAAGCTTAAGTCAAAAAGGCTAGCACAGGAAGAGTGGGGGAGGACATGGGACAAATTGGAACTCTCCTATATCGCTGACATGTACACAGTTGTGTGCATACTTTGGTAAACAGTTCAACAGTGTCTCATAAAGCTAAAAAAAAAAAAAGCAATACGATCTAGTGAATCTAGTGATCTCACTCCTAGTTACCCAAGAGAAAGCCTATTCTGTAGACACTGAGAAGGCTGTTGAGTGTGGACCAACTGGAGGCAGACTTTGTGAAGATCATTTTCAATAGCAAGAAATGGGCTGAGCTAAGACAGAAGATTTGAATTACTGAGGATAATGGAATGTCAGCCATCTTCTTGGGGAGCTTGCTAAAATACAAATTCTGATTTATCGGTTCTGAGCTGGGACTTAGAAGCCTTCATTTTAACATTGATGGCCTTGAATAACATCCTGAGGAAAAAAAAAGTTAAAGTAAATCAACTGGTGAGGAAACCAAAGAAAATATCCACATGGAATGTAGAAAGGATCTTAGCTGGGATTAGCTGTCAGAATATAAAATAAAGGTCAATCGTTGAATTTATGAAAATGGTATAACTAATAGAAAGTAGTAAGTAATCCAGAAGATAAATATTAATGACAATGATCCAGCTGTTTGGGCTCTGAGTTGCTGAATTGGAATGATATCACTCAGATAGAAAAATGGAGAACGCATTTATTTCTTAAAAAACTCTTGAGACCAGGCTTCGAAACTCAACAGACTCCGAGGTGGAAACAGCTGGTGGTGCTGGTTCAGGAGGTGAGTGGAGACGGATGTTCAAGACCTTGGCAAACGAGTGATAGTGGAAATTACGGAAGGAGTTACATCACCAATTGGAAAGAAAAGAAGCTGTCAAGAAAGTGGTTTAAGGTTCCTTAGGATCCACTGAACGGGCAGGGGATTATAAATCAACAGAGAAACTGAAAAAAGTCAGTCAAGATAAGAAGCATAAATAGAAGCGTTCAGTTCACAGTTTACAGTGAACTCCCGTAGGGTTTCACGAGCAGTCGTTGTTATGTTGTACAAACTGGAGAAAAGTGGTTTTGTAATCTATCCAAGGCCAAGTGACTCATTGGCATGGGCTGCCCAGATGTCAGGTAACACTCTTGGCTACAAGTTCAAGGTTCTTTCCTTTAAGAAATGTTATGTGACATGTGTAAACACAATCAATGCACTAATGTCAGAACACAGAACTATTGCCCTGTGAAACAATGCAAGTGTATCACATTTAAACATAAACAGGATGATTTCTTTCCATATACATGGCAACTAAAATGATAGCCGCCTTATTCATGCCATTGGCTAACTCCATGTTGCAGGTGGGATTACACATAGCTTTGAGTGTTTTCAGTAACAATAAGGTCATTCTAAATAGAATGGGACTTTCATTAATTTGTTGAGATCTCTAGTTAAAAAGAGGCCTAACTAGTCTTCTGCCCTTAATCGTCAGGAAACTAGGAAGTTCATTCCCAGAAGTAAATTTTAGTAGTTTTATACTTGTGGATAATTCTGTAAGTAACTTTGAAGACTATATATATATATGGTACATATATTCTTATATATATATATATATATATATATATATATATATATATATATATACACACTATATATATGTAAGAATATGAATTGGAGAAATGTCAGTAAGGCAAAAAAATCCTTTCATTTTTCAAACAACATTTTTTTTCTTTTTTAATATCAACCAAAATGAAACAGGTTTGCCTTTGCTTAAATTTATACTTTTTAAATATCTTAATAAACTGATATTTTAAATGAATTGTTTTGCCTACCCGTGCGATAACATTTAGACAACTTTTTTTTTCTTTTCTTTTTTCATTGAATGTAGCGTGAGCTAAGTCAGGAAAGGAAGAGGGTTTTCAGAACTCCAAGTCAATACACAACGCAGAGACATGGCCACTTTCTAGCCATGACTTTAGCTCCCTAGTGTCATCGCAGTTGCAAGAAAAACAAAATACAGGCGTGCTGGGATAGAGTGACTGTATCAATCTCTTCAAGCTGACTGATTTGACTGTAAGTCATAAGGGTCTACATTGGTCTACCTTTACTAAATAATGTTGCTCAAGAGAATTACAATTTTGTCCAAGTAATGTGGATAGAATGTCTTCTATTTGCTAACAGAATGCCATTCTATGTACAGGATCTTGGTGATCTAGAGAGTTTCCCAGGAATCAGATAAAATTTTCACTATAAAAACAGATTTAAAAGATCAGCTATTATTGTATTTGCTTACAATTTTGTGTATATTATATTTTGTACATTATATTATATTATAGCCCCAAAATTCAGGGCTGTAAAACTGTGAGAATGTACTGTATTATCTCCCATTATCTCTTATTATCCCATTATCTCTTATCTCTCATTATCTCTTGGGATAAATGAACCCAAATGAGACTTGAATAAATGAAGTGGATTCTCTGTGTGTTCAAACTATGGGAAAAAAAGGGGTGCATTTATAAGACCCAAACAAGACTTCATTGCATGTGAATAGGTACTCAGCCACATGGTAATTATGTGAGAGTTATGGAGACTAGAACTATAGTAGCAGGAATTCAAAGAAGGCAGGCTGTTTTGCTCTAAAATAAATCAAAAGATTTTATTGAAATTATCAACAGAGAAATAGTTTCATTAAGCTGAATGGAACTAAATTCATATTTTTAATATTTACATTTACTTTGGTGCACACATCTATGTTATATGGAAAACGAATGTCACCCTTTTGCTACAACTATACTGAATTGTTTGAATACTGTCAAGCCATTTTTTTCATGTTTTTTAAAATAATGTTTTCATGCTTTTTATATTTGATTTCCTAGTTTATTATCAAAATATTTTCCAACCTTTTATTCTTATATAATCTTTTTTTGATATTTCTTTTCTACTTACCTGTAAAGTGCCTTCAACGTGACTAGTAGATTAAAGGAGTGTTTCAAACATCCAATCAGGTTGAGCAGTGAAGACCGTTGTGTAGATAGTTGTGGACATATTAATTTCTGAGAGCTGCTAGCTGTCTGAAGCCCTTAGGAAGTTTGGGTTGGGAGGAAGTGGAACTGGATAGAAACCTCTGGGTTGATGGTGGCTGGTAGGTGGTGTGAAGTAAGGGGGAAAGCTATTGAATTTGTTAGAAACTTTGGATCTGCTCCATTTGTGCTGCCAACAGGCAGTCTGCCCTGGGCAGGTCGCCACGCTTGTTTCTTGGTTTCCTTATCTGTTAATGAAGAGGTCCACTTTAAGGTCCCTTTCAGTTCTAGAATTTCCTCCTCTGTTGCAAAGAAGAGCTATGCAGATAATGACATCATCTTATTAATCCCTTGTTTATACATCTTTTAACTTTTTTTTATTGCTTGGATGCAACCGGGAGAGTTAGAGATAATTTAGTAACCATCAGTTAGGCATGGCGGTGTAGAGTGCACGTTGAGAATGCACCAATGAAGGGTTACCCAGAGTAACAGCTGTAGTGAAGTCAGCATTGCATATCCAACAGTGTCTCACTAAATAGTGATTAGACCAACTGTTATCGAAAACAATGCTGTGAGTTAAAGGACCCCTTCCTAAGAGATTACATAGTGTAAACATGATTACAATGTGGGTCAATGCTTAGTTACTTTTCTACCCTTTGAACAGAGTGTTAGACCATGTGCGTGTTAAGTATACTATAATATAGAAAATGAACTCGTGCCCCCTCCAGTATGCTACAGGGTGAGGCTATTAAATATTTCATCAGGAAGTTGAGAAGTACAGCTGTGAAGTTCTTTATTGCTGGGAAGCTGTCATTACTCCAGTACTTACTGGGTCCTGACCATCAGCTCATAGAATCTACTATGGCAGGTTTTACAGTAACCTTGTTAATACTGAGCATTATTGAAGCCATTTGGTGGAGGAGACAGTTAGGGGGCAATAATAAGGAATAAAAGCCAAATGATTTCCTGGGGAAGATTGCCTAAGTCATCTCCACTCTGGAAATCTGTCCATAACACTAAAACGTCTCCTGCCTCTAGTATGTACAAGGCATGCCTTTGTTTAGCCTTTAACTCTTTAAAACATTGAATATCCGCAGTCTGATTACCTTTTTTAAGGTCTATTTGGAATTTCTTGAAAGGTAGATGGTGTTCAAGGGTTATCCCCCATGAAATTCATCTCCAAAGACAGGACGTGGAACTAAAAGAGAGTAGACAGATGGTGCGTCTGGTGCACACAGAACCTCGGTGTTAATTTTTAGAGCAGGACCCGAGGCCTTGGCAACATCCTCAAACTCAGCTATGTTCTTTTATCACTAGGAATCATTTTCTCTCCTTGTCGTGTGTACTTTCCCCACCATCCACACCACTGAAGTCCCCCCCAAATCAGCAGTTGACCTTTCCATGGCTCTATGCTGAGATGGCTACCATGGTGTTTCTAACCCTCGTCCATTTCTTTCCAGACAGAGCTTTTTGTGCACGCTTTCAAGGATCAGCTGGTCAGAAGCGCCCTGTTAGCACTTTACACTGCCAGGCCAGGAGGTGTCCTTACGAAGCCACCCTCTCCTAAGAACAGCGTGGAGGAGAGCTGTCCCCAGGGCCCATCCTCACCGATGCGAAGGCAGGACTCCATCCCCCATCACTCAGACTACGACGAGGAAGAGTGGGTAAGTCTCCTGCACATCACTTGCCTCCCGGCACGCAGTCCTAAGAAATGAAGTCCAAATGATAAGAATTGCTGCTTTTCATCAAAACAAGGTAGAAAGCAGTCATGGTACAAACTGTGGATCAATGAGACACATTGTTCCTTGGAGGCAAATTATAAATGGAATTTTTATTCCTGATCACATTTCTTTGACATTAAATTTATTTGCTGTCAAATAAATCGTATACACATAACCAAGAATATGTCATCAAAGCCAAGGTGTCACAATCGCCAGATTCTATAATCCTTTTTCTTATTTATTGACGAGGCAATATAAACGGTTAAAAATGTTTTTTCAAAAAAAGAGTCAGAAATTATTGACAATGCACCACTTGAATGCAATTAATATTTGCAGTGTTGCACTCCAGTGTTTTAGTTCTGGGCATACCTTAGAAAGGATTAGCATTGAAATGGCAGCAGACATAAGAATCTCTTAAATCACTCTCGTTCAGAGTTCTGTGCTAAAAAGCAGGTGTTACTCCAGGTGCTCTAAAACTGCAGAAGGATGGCCACATGAAAGCACCTGAGAAAAAGGAAAGCCAAGAAAACACAAGAAGGCAGCGTGGGTGGGTGGGAACGCCAGGTGGGCAGGATGAGACAGGAGAGACACGACGGTGCTGGGTGGGGGGGAGCAGTTGTGTTATTCCTGAATCAGCACCTGTGAATTATCCAAGATCCCTCCGCCAACACGTGCACACGCACACTCACACACACGCACACATGGAAACTCTTTACAGCGTCATATACTTAACCAAGAAAATAGTATGCTAGCCGGATTAGATGTTAAGCAGTTAACAATGACTTGTCCTGCCACTTGAATTTGAAGTTGTTCAGGGAGTCCATTATTTGAAAGGCCCAAATCTCTCAAAAAATTGCTGTCTGAAGGGCTGTGAAGTGAAGCTTGCCCTCTCTTCAGATAAAATTTCTATCAGAGGGACAACAGCGCTGGGTTTGGAGAGGTAAATGCTAGATAAGTGTTTGTTGTTGCTGATTAAGATTGCATTTTCTCCCTCTGAAGCGTTTTCAAAAGAGCAAATCTAATATTTCTGCCTTTTACCTCACCTTCTTCTTCAATTTATTCACAGCTCCAGGGCGTTTGCACCTCTTAACCTCTCTGAAGTTCAATTTTCTCCACCGTAAAGTGAAAACAACGGCACCTGTTTGGCTTAGGGTGGCTGTGAGATACATGACTTACCTGTGTGGTGACGCTCCATCACCCGGAAGGGCCTAGGCCAGTGCACTGGATCATTTTAGTAGTATCTGGGTTTGCTTTCTTGAGGATATGTAAATCATATTATCTTATTATGGGGACCAGTGCCATCCTGTGAGATAAATTGGGAAACTGCATCTACCACAAAATGCGTACTGTGACTTTTAAGAGTTTGGGTAGATGGAGAAAAGAACTTGTGTTTCATTTAATTAAACATAGTGTTAACCTTTTCACAAACAATGTCCATTTTCTGTTAAATCAAGTGGGGATTCTGGAACTAAGTACCTTATTTTTACAGTTTTCGCCTCCTTGTGTTATGCAAATCCTCCCTCACACCTGGCCTTTTGCCTGCCACACAGCAATGTGCCTTTTCTACCCTCCCTCCTTATTTCCTTTTCTTTAGATAATTTCGGGGACTCGTAGGTCCTTAGTGCTAGAGCTGAGTCCGATGGTGAATAAAAACATGTTAACAAACAGGAGAGACACAGGTGATAGAAGGTAGGCTCCATTAATGTGACTTGGACACAACATGTCGTATGCAGAACCTTCCTGTGGCGGCTGAGATGGAAGACGGTGGGAAACGTGTGGTGAGGGCGGGGGGTTTACATCGAGCCATTCCGTTCAGGGGGCTCCCTGAGCCCCTGTTCTGCCTGGCTCATTCCATCCAAGGGCTGTGGGAAAAGCAGCTCTTCCAGGCCTTCCTTTGGCTGGTGGGTGGTTATGACACTCGCCTGGGCTGCCACTCTGCCTCCAAATCCCCCCCTCCCAGAAGGACACAGAGGCGAACCACTCAGGCCTCATGGAATCCACAGCTCAGTTCGGGCTCTGGAGAGACAAGTGGCGATTGCAGTGCAGTTTAGGATTGTGCACCGGGGGTAAAGCAGGAGTCTGGTGGTCGTGGCGGGATTTCCAGAAGGAATTCTGAAGATTGAAATGTGCGTAGATGTTAAGCATTCAAGAAGGAGTCTGAGGTGGCCTTTTAGACATGGACACATTAGCTGACAGAGAGAGAAAGTAGAGGTTATTGTTAGTTGTTTACTTGTTTTGTTTTAAGGTGTTGAGCATTGAACCTGTTGATACTGCAAAAGCTGTGTGACAGTCAGAGGGACAATGACTAATAGGGCGAGGTCCTTACAAACCAGAGAAGAGAATCAGTTCTAGTGTGTGGGGGAGGGCCGAGTCCCAGGCAAAGGTTCTTTGCTACTGTCTTCAGAGAGGATGAAAGTCGGACTTCACTTTTATGAGTGTTTGTTTCTTTAAAATATTTTTCCAGTTTGATTGACAATAATTAACAAATTATATTAGTTTAAGGTGTACAACATAATGATTTGATTATGTGTGTGTATATATATACATATATGTATGTGCATGTATATATATAAAGGGTTACCACAATAAATTTCGTTAACATTCAGCACCCTGCATAGTTACACAGTTTGTTTTAATAATGAGAACTGTTAAGACCTACTGGCCTAGCAATTTTAAATATACAATAGATGCTGTACATTATGTCCCCAAAACTTTGGAATCTTATAACTAGAAGTTTGTAACTTGTGACCACCCTTACCCATGCCCCCCATGGCCCCTACCCCCACCTCTGCACACTCCAGTCTGTTTCTGTTCCCAAAGGGTGTTTTCGATGCCCCATATAAGTAGGATCATATGGCAGTTGTCTTTCTGACTCACGTCACTTAGCATAATGTCCCGAAGGTTCACCCATATTGTTGTAAATGGTGAGCTTTTCTTCCTTTTATGGCTGAGTAATATTCCATTGTGTGTGTGTGTGTGTGTGTGTGTGTGTGTGTCACATTTTCTTTATCCATTCATCTTTCAATAGATAATTAGATTTTTTTCATATCTCCGCTTTTGTAAATAATGCTGCAATGAACATGGGACTGCATGTATCTTTTTGAATTGGTGTTCTGTAATCTTTGGACAAATAACTCCAGGTGGATTGCTGTTTCATATGGCAGTTCTGTTTTTCATTTTTTGAGGAGCCTCCACGCTGTTTTGCACGGTGGTGGCGGCAGTGTGCATTCCCACTGTTACACACGAGTTTTCTCCTTTTTGCACATCCTTGCCGACACTGGTTATCTCTCGTCTTTCTGACGGTAGCTATTCTTACTGATGCAGGGCTACATCACGTTGCGGTTTTGATTTGCATTTCCCTGGTTATGTGACGTGGAACACCTTTTCGTGTCCCTGTTGGCCATTTGTATGTCTTTCTTTGAAAAATGTCTACTCAGATGCTCTGCATATTTTTTCTATTGAGTTGTATGAGTTCTTTATATATTTATTGGCTATTAACCCAGGTACTTTCTTCTGTCCTTAAAGTAGAACCATGTCCAAAGACCAAGGTACAGGGAGACAGGCTGAGGAGAATGGTTAAAGTTTCAAATGGGCACCAAAGAACACAGGTAGAGGAGCTTATTAGCAAGATTTGGAAAAATCAGGAATCATTTCAGTCCCTGTGAACAGCCAGCTGACAAGTTGGCAGTAGGGGCTGCATGGTTGTTGGCTCGCCCTTGACCACTACCTTAGAAACACCCTGGTAGCCTTGCCGCTAGGAGGGAAGCTTCCTGATTTTCTCTCCCCCTGGATGCAGGACCGTATTCTCAGTTTCCTAAGTTGTCCTGCTTTTCTTCCAAGGCAAAACAGTAGGGTAATAATGAAGATGTATCTCTCCGTCTCCTTTCACATAATTTCTGAATTTCCTCTGGAACCCACTGTTATTAGAAAGCATATAGATGCTTTGTCTGGATTTAACCACAGGGAAAATCTTTCCCACTCAGAAAAGTTAGTTCTAACTCTCTCTTCCTAATACAATTTTACTGTATTTGCCAGCAATGACCAAATTTGATTGTTAGAGACTGTTCTTATTAACCACTTTCTATTAGAAATATTTCTTTATCAAGAGATGAAAATCCCTTTAAAAACTTCGCCAAAGATGTAACCACTTAACATTATTTACAAAGCTTTCACTAGCTTTGAAAAGTTGTGGAAATGCAAAGAAAAGGTAGCTAACTGAAAATGCCTTTGGAGATTGTGTTATTTAATGGATTGGAAACAATTTTGTGTACAATTCTCTAGTTAATCAGGTGTTAGAAAAGTTTCGGCACTGATGACAAGTCTAGTCAACTTCTTGAATTAATTCAATGTTTTAAATTGATTTGATTGGGTTTCTGTAATATCATATGAAAATATTCTCCGACCACTTACGTTGGGTTAGATTTAGACATACAGGCAGGAGATTCATGTTTAAAAATCTGTTTGTTTTGTTTAATTTCTTACAGTGGCTTTGGTTTTAACAATCGTCTAACACAAACAACTGCATTGAGGTTCTTACAGGAAATATTTTTAAAGTAAATACCTGTTAGTAAATAACTCCTGAATTTTACTCTGCTGATGCATGTGAAAATCTTTCTTTCTGAGGTCATGAGAAAGAATCTCCATGAATTCTAAATCAGCGTGAGGCTGCCTCTTTTCAACTTGTTTTGTTGGCAAAATTGATGACACGAATGTAGATAATAATTATCTAGTCAATATGGAAGAGATTGCCACTAAAATGTCTGTTATTTGCTTAATTTTACTTGTCAATGATTGAGTGCTTTAAAGGTTGATTTTTCTGAAACGTTACTAAACAATTTAATTCCAAGGGAATATTGAGATTTCATGACAATCTGTACGAAGAAGTAGGCTAATATAGCACTCCTCTCCTCTAGCTGCTGAAGATGGCATGCCGCTTCTCCTTT